GCGGCCTACATGGATGAAGTGAAGAATCTGGCATCGTGGTGCCAGGACAACCACCTCCAGCTGAACGTCGGCAAGACCAAGGAGCTGGTGGTGGACTTCAGAAGGAGTCAGCACAGAGACTACAAGCCCATTATCATCAATGGAGCTCCAGTGGAGAGGGTGCAGTCCTTCAAGTATCTTGGTGTCCACATCTCCTCAGACCTGACATGGGCTGCCCACATTCAGGTCCAGACCAAAAAGGCTAGGCAGCGCCTGTATCACCTACGACAACTGAGGAAGTTCAGGGTCTCTCCAAAGATCCTCAGGATTTTCTATACAGGCGCTGTGGAGAGCATCCTCACACAGAACATGACATCGTGGTTTGGGAACAGCTGTGTGAAGGACCAAAAAGCTCTCCAGAGAGTGATCCGTACAGCAGAACGCTGCTGCAGGATTGCTCTCCCCCGCTTCAGGACACCTACACCAGGAGATGCCGGACTAGAGCAGCGCAGATACTGAAGGACCCGTCCCATCCTGGCAACAAACTGTTCCAACTTCTGCAATCTGGTAGAAGGTTCCGCATCTTCCGGGCAAGGACAGAGAGACTCAAGAGGAGCTTCTATCCCCAAGCCATCCGTGCCCTAAACACACACACCCGCCCTCTCACATCATCTATAATTGACTGAGACAGGACTCTTCCAGACACTAAACCAAGGCACAATGTACATTTCAATTCCTTTAATTTTAAATATGTTTATATTGTCTATCCTGTAAAATAGTCAGATATCTATTCATATTAATGTACAGAATTCACCTGCTTGCTGCTACTACTGCACATTCACCCAGTGTATATACTATATATATATATATAATGTTCATATATATATATATATATATATATATATATATATATATATATATATATATATATATGTATATATGTATATATATATATATTATATATAATAATATATATATATATATATGATATTTATAATATTATATTATTATAATATATATAATAGTGATATATTATATATGTTATATATTATATATATATATGTGATATCACTCATCGTTGTTGGAGATGGCACCCAACACCACTGTGTCGTCAGCAAACTTCACAATGGTGTTGGAGCCATGGGTGGCCACACAGTCAGAAACACCAAAGCTGTTCCTGCCCTTCAATTACAAAGCACACTGTTTTATTCACTTCAGCAAACAATTGTAATTACAAGAAAAACGCTGTGTAAATTCTCAAGTTGAATACTTTGTATGATGCTGAGGTATAATGACCTTTGAAGACACCGTCTGTATGAAGAAACATGCTGCAGGCACTGCTCAGGTGTGGCTTTGGCCCATTCTCCCACACATTCAAATCCTGAAGGTCCCGTGGGCCGTGCTATAACTCCCCATAGATTTGGATTCAGGGCAGCTGATTGGCTGGTACCAGTTTAGAGTTTCCTTGGCCGTGTGTTTGGCATCATTGTCTTGCTGAAACATGCACTCTTTGTTCATCCTCCTGGTAGATTTTTGTCAGGAATGTCTCAGTACATTATTCCATTCATGCAAATTCAGCTCCCAGAGTCCTCAGTGGAAGCTTCGGTAGTTTAGACATTCTTCTGTAACCAGTGTCATCGTTATGTTTCGCAGCAATACGATTGCAACAGTCCTTAGACGCTCACTGGTTTTATATATCATGAAATGTCCATTGTGTGGCACATTGGTAATGACACAACGTTTTATTGGCCATCAATTAGGCCTGAACCAGCTGATAATAATCAGTACTAAGTGACAGGATTGCTTTCTAATTACTGACAGATTTCAGCTGATGTCATGACTTTCCATGTGATTTCCCTTTCTTCATGTGTTCGGTACTTTTTCCCCGCATCTTTTCTTATTGTTACACATCGATGGTTTGATTTCTTTAGATATATCGCATAACTGCTGCATCTATTTCATGCATCATGCATTCATACATTTAGTCCAAAATGTGTCTATAGAAAGATTATTTGACTTTAAATTCACTTTATCACAATTCCAAGGCTGCTCAGCACCTAAGAAGCCACTGCTTTACAATGAAAAGCCAGGATAAAGTTTCCAACTTCCCAACAATCTTACTTTAGTGAGAACTCCCCAGTAAACTGATGGAACAAAAATGTTTGGCCATAAAGGCTGAAATAAGCAAACTTGAAGCCTAAGAGGTCCAATTTTGATATTGCTTTGAAACTCCCACGATGAGGAACCAATGAGGAGGTTCAAAGGAATTGAAGGTTGTTATCATCATGGCCTCATCCAATCAGAATGCAAAATAAAACAGCCACCAGGTTGTTGTTGTTTTTTTAGTTTTGTGACCTTTTCAAAGTGGACAGACAACAATAAAGAGACAGGAGATAACAGCAGGGGACTTTTCATTAAGCGACTTGACACAGAGAATACAAGAATATCATTTCATTTATTCATTATACATGTTTTGGAGCTGCAATATGCTGGTGTACAGACAAGCTCTGTTTCAGAGATGGGCTTTTAACCAGACGCATTATCTACAGTTTCCAACAGCATTGCTTTCTGGTAAAAGAGTCCAGGTGCTGAACTTGCAAGATAAAGTTACAACATTCGATTTGTTGTGTCCAGTGTCCTGACTTTTTTGGAAACAGGTTTAGAAATGATGAAAGAATACAATCAAGTCTTGGCCCCTGTGCAATCCAACATAACAGAACATAGTAATAAATAATATGGTCTTCAGATGATGCACATACAATTTCAGGTGAACAACAAAATCAGACATATTCCATCGTATAATTATTTATTTAACAAAACGAAGCCAACACACAGAAGCAGTGTGTGAAAAATTAAATACAATATTACTGCTTCAGTAGGAGTCACGTAGCCGCTAGCTGCTAATAATCAGATAATCTGTTTATGTGCTTCTTATATAATTTTTTTAGTGCTGTCAGTGTTAATCTCTTTAAAATGATGTTAACGCCATGACCGCATTAATGCGGCAAATCTCAGTTAGCGAGTTAAGGTGGATCTCCCCGTGCGTGGGGCTGCACGGCATCAACGTGTTGACGAGCTAACCACGCTAACGCATTGATGCCATGCAGCTCTATGCACGGGGCGATCCACTTTAACTCGCTGAGATTTGCCGCATTAACACTGACAGCACTAAAAAACTTTGGAACAGAATAAATGGACCCTTGCAGAGCAATAGCAATTCATGTTTACGTAGTTCAAACGTGTATAATAGAAGATATTATCTTCTACTTTTTTATAATAGAATATTATTTTACTGCATCTCCATGAGCTTTGTGCATTACATTGTTTGTTTTTAGAATCTGTTATTGCATGGCAAAAAAAACAAAAAAAACCCTTTATGACCATTGTGAAGACAGTAAATACAAGATTATGCAAGATGTGTTGTTGTGGAGAAACACTTCCCTGTGATGGCTTAGTATTGTGCAAGCATAACACTTGCCTTGGTGGTTGATGAAACAGTGTCTCTGGCTGCACTGTGCTGTGCTGCAGGTTTGATATTAAACTAAAATTAATGCCAGTGAGTTAAGAACCTTTTGGAAGGACCCTCATTTAAAGAACACCTCATAAATAAGACGTTAAAGGTTGAGTAGCAATATAGAGAAAAGCAAAAGTAATTTCACAGTCACCTTGTATTTCATCAAATGTGATGGAAAGAGCACAAAGGAGAAAAACAGAACTCGTGCTGGTGATGATGTTGGTGAGAACATAAACCAAAGACAGACAGATACAGACAACTGAGGAAAACATGCCCAGAATGCACCTTTCAGGATAACAGTGACCCATGGAGCTAAGTGGGACTAAGAGATCCTCCAACATCTTTCAGCTATTGTGAGCACTCAGCTATCTCTGCCCTGAACTCAGATTGTACAGGGGGAACATCTTTTGAACAGTGCCTATCACCATGTTCTTCCTGAAGGTATCTGTGGTGAAATAATACGCAATGGGGTTAAGCACTGTGTTTAGACAAGCCACCACCAGGCTGTAGCGGTATGCAGCCAACATGGGGTGCATACCGCTACAAGTTCTAGAGGTTATAGGCTCTCTGTGCAGGGAGAGGACAACTAGGGTAGCATGGTATGGAGAGAAACTGAATAGGAAAATAAGCAGACTTGTAGCGATCATCCTCCGGATCTTTCTGCTGTTCAGCAGATTTGTCTGAGCCACAGTGCTTTTTTGAACAGTATGAACCAATATCCAGGAGCATACTAGCATAATTGCTAAAGGGAGCCCAAACCCCAGAAATAAAGTGGAAAAAACTACTGTTGGTTGTGTGGCATAAACCGGTGGGTTATCAAAGCAATGTTTAGTAACATTTAAAGAAACATTTTCACGCTTGAGGATGTAGATTGGCACACTTGGACCAAAGGACAGTATCCAGACTCCAAGACAAATCAACCATGACTTCTGTCTTGCTCTCTGAATTCTTGTAGACATAGGAAAGCTGACAGCGACACAGCGGTCAAAGCAAATACAAGCGAGGAATAAGATGCTCCCATACATGTTGGCCTTCAGGATCAAGCCAAGGCAATCACACAACACCAGAGGAATGCCTTCTAATCCAAGGTGGTAGTAGATTCTCACTGGCAATGTGAGGATGAGTAAAAAGTCCGCCATGGTCAGGTTGGTCATGTAGACAACTGTTGGGGATCTGGATTTGATTTGACAAAAAAAAAATACCAGAGCTAAAACATTCAAAGTAAGACCCACGATGAAGATGAAGGAGTACAAGCACACGTGGATGATGTCGAAGTGGCTCGTACTGTCATTGGTGCAGGTAGTGGTGTTGCTGATGGACATCGTGACCTGTGAGAAAGCAGAAAAAATAATGCATGAAAAAAAAACAGGTTTGTTGCAGGTTTAAGTATCAAAGAACAATTCATGTTCAGCTCAGCTGTCGTCAATCAAATAACTGTAACTTATGTCATGTCAACAGAAAGCTTCTTTGATTACTACGGCAGCAATGTTACAAACTACTATCTCAGCTGGGAAACAGTCAAAGAAGCACACGCTGATCAGAACCATAAGTGAAGCAGCTCACTGAAGTGACTACACACAGTCACACAGTTCACACAGTCACACACAGTCGATTCAGAATTGGTGTAAGAAAGACAAACTGTCAGACTCCAACCTGATTCACCAAATCGAAACTGGACTTAAAACGAATCACAGTGAAGCTGGAATTGCTGAAGCCGTCGTCAGGCCTAAGTCTTTGCAAGATGTTAGTGATTAAAACAGACCTCGCCCTGGCACAGCTTCATACCACACTGAACGGACACTACAAGGATGATTGAGCTCTATCATTGGCTATTTGCTGGGTGGGCTGAAATCACATTCAGGTTACCCACAGAAGAGGCTCCGCAGTCAGAGCTTCTAGTACCAGTATTAGTAGCTCAGGAAGATAGGGTGGCAGAGGAGCCAATCACTGGCTTCAATGTGATTGAACACATGTTAGAGAGGGGAATAGAGCCGCCTCGTGCTGTGAAGGAGGATGTTAGCACAGTACTCTCCACTGACTGTAAGAAAGCGGAAGTCTTTTTAAAGGTGAGTTTGTTAGGAGCAACTCAGGCGGACCCCAGCAGCAGATCACAGGACGCATTTAGCTAGAGTGTAAATGACTTATCTACAGTGACAGAGTAACAATAACAGTTCTGGGATTGCAGGAATAACTGGCGGAGGACTTGAACGGTCTATGGGAAGAAAAGGGAGCAGAGATTACTGAGTAGACACTAGACTTGTAGTCAAGACCGCCTAGACCAAGACAAGACCAAGACCACGTAAAAGTGGTCTCGAGACTGGTATCGAGACCAAGACGGGTCTTAAGACATCCAACTCTAGTGGACACGGAGAGAGGAAGACGAGGGTTGTGTGAGGTAATAGAGTTGGAGAGCTTATTTGTCACGAGTTTGGTAGAAGGCTCGGGCAGTGGTAGTGAGGAGCTGGGGGCTGAGGCGAGAAGAGTGCGTGCTGGTGGCAGCACAGGCAGATGGGCGTGGCCAGTTCCCCTTCTCCAGCACAGCAGCAGAAGGTAAGACAGCTATTGAGGGAGGAGATTGACATGTTTGCACCCAATGGTTTTTCTTACAGCACCTCCTTCTCAAAACTCCACCTCTCCTCTCCTGCCTGCTCACCCTCTCAGCCTCTCTGCATGACTCCGAGGAATTCGGACTCAGTGTATCCCTCTCATTTGAGTAAATTATGGTTGTGGAGAGATTACTCGAAAATGATGCATGGACTAATTCTCCTGTCTTCCTTCCCCCAGACCATATCTGTTCCTCGAGTCACAGTCCACTGGCTTCACTTAAACCCTCACCACCATACGGCCCAAGTGTGTGCATGTGTTTAACTGAGAACATGCAACTCAGTTCTGCTCTCTTGCCTGTTCTCGTCTAGGCCTTGCACTTGCACTGAGTCTGCATGCCTCCAGTTTAACCATTCATAACAGAACAGCACATCATGCTGCGTGTACGCACAGGAAATAAAAATCTGGAGTCTGGCAAAGCTGTTTCCACAGGGTGCAATCGTGGAAAAATAATCCCCCTCTGTGGAGTTTTTGCTACATAATCTGTAAAAGCTGTAATCAAAAGGCATTGTAGCTCCAACAGTACATACACAGTATAAACTTATTGCTTCACTAACACGTTATCAGGAAAGATAACACTTTAAATGACATATGTCCTTAAGTAGTTTGGGAGGACGAATGTAAAACAGTCTATCACATATGTTGCCATGCATATCCCCCAACCTACTCAAATATGTATGTGAGAAAAGAAATTAATGGACATGATGAAAAATTAATCGTGCTATGTATTCTTTTGTTACAAGATCCCAAATCCACCATAAGAGCCTATTGCAGAGTACTTAAAAGTACTTCTAATGTTACCTTTCATAATTACACATCATACAAGTGCTCTGGGTTTACAGCTCATTCACTGTAACATTTCCATTTGGTTATAACAAAGAGCTGAAAAGTCATTGGCTACCTGGAAGATTTTAGCTGAGAGCTTGTAAATGAAAATCCACGTTTGGCCAAATGTTGTGTGGAGTTGAGAAAAGAGACAAAGACTGCGCTTTACTTTAGTTTACTGGGTTTTTGTTTTTTTGACAATTTGTAAAACATTTCACACCATGAACACATGCAAAGGTACAACAGTATCTCTGTTTCTAAACATTATTTGTGTCTGTTTGAAATAACATGAAATAGTCAGTGCATTTTCAAACCAGTACATTTCTTTCAGTTTCATGTCGTTCACACAGACTAAGGTAAGGACAGGAAGATACACAAATAACATTCCCCACAATTTTCTGGTTTGGTTTTACCCTCTGTAGAGCTGAGTGACTAGTACTAAAATAGTGTTAAATAGTATAAAATAGTGTTTAAAGGTCATTTGTAAATGAGCTGATAGTGTGAATTTTACCTGTTTGATGATTAAATTTATAAAGATCCAGTGGAAGCAGAAGAAGAGCACTTCTGTGGTGAGCTGATATCTTTGCCACAAGGCAGCTTCCTGTGCTGACATCGGTCAGCTTCTCTCTGCTCAGTTTTCACACGTGTGTGTGGTACGAATACTTTCTTTACATTTTCTGTACATGTTATGGAAATGCATCCACACACAGTCTGTAGTTTGCTCTCATATCGTTATTGTTTGTGTAAACATAAACAAAATCAATTATGTTACAAATGTTATTGGGTCATCTCCAAGCAGATCTAAAAATATTTGTATTAAAATAAAAATGACTATTTTCTGAATTCAAAGTCATGTGACAAAACAGACGAGGCTCATTGTCTTTTTTTAAGTTTTAGGTATTATTGACTGGCTTACATGAATAATGCTGAGCTTGATTTACTTCTAGCTTGATGTTAAATTTACATCATATTTATATCTTAGAAGAGAGATCCCTCTAGAGGCGAGCAAATCACCCAGGTTCTGTTCATCTGGATGTTGGCGGAAACATCAGTGGAACAAACCTTTCTTCAGTCACAGCTGACAGGATGTTACCCCAACCTTCCCCAAACCCCAACTAACAGTGACCCTGAGAGGTCAAGTGGACTGCAACTTAAGAAAACAACAGCAAATAGAAAAAAGCTGCAAAAGAACACAAAACACAACGGAAACAGGAAAAAACACAAAACAAGCCCCAAAACTAAAGGAAAACAATTACAGAAACAGAAGTGACAGAAGTGACAGAAGTGACAGAAGTGACAGAAGTGACAGAAGTGACGAGCTAACAGTGAACAGCTTATAGCAAACATGTATGTTGTGATGCCATCAGCCACACATGGGTAAATTATTCCATTTGTAAACTTTATTAGTTTGTTTTGCAGTTTTCTTCATTAATATAATTAATTAATTAATATAATTCATTAATCGTTTGGTTAAACCTAACACTGATATTATGAGGCGCGCACATAGTAGCATTGTGTGGTTTTTCTAAAATGTTTTGTTATATTAATTGTTTCTCTTTCTTTGAGTTTCCTGGGTTTGGGCGGTGGCTGTTTCCTGTCTGGGCAAACGGCGTGGCTGAGGACTCTGGGGACAAAATACCTGCTCAGCAGGACCAACCGTGGGCTTCCAGTTTAAGGTTTTGACCTTGACTTTCAGGGCTCTGCATGGACAAGCACCAACATATATAAGTGAACTTTTACATCCATACATTCCCAGCAGGTCCCTGAGGTCATGTGACCAGGGCTTGCTTGCTGTCCAGCACACGAGTCTGAAAACAAAAAGCGACAGAGCTTTTGGAACTGTGGCCCCCAGATTGTGGAACTCTCTCCCTTTGAGCCTGAGATCTGTGGACTCAGTGGTCGCTTTTAAAAAACAGCTAAAAACTCATCTTTTTAAACTTGCTTTTGTTTGATTTTGATTTTTAGGTTTTAGCTTCTGTGAAGCATTTTGTGATTTTGATCTTGAAAGGTGCTATATAAATAAAGTTTTACTTACTTGCCAGGAGCAGGGGTGTTTTGGGTTTACTTAGGTTATTCTGTGCTTAGTTAATATTAGTGTGTGTTTTTGTTTCCGCATATTGTGCTTAAATGGTTTGGCCAAAACATTATACAAGCTACCCTCACGTGTCTTTGTAATTAGGTCAGTTTGTGAGTTAAGTTGTGTCTCACTTTGTTTGTTTGGTTGTTTCTGGAAATTAGGTTTTCGTAGAGTTATATTTGACCTCTTTATGGGCCTGATAATTATGTTTTGAATTTTGTCATTTTTGAACCTTTTGAGGGTTAAAATAAAGCAAACCCTTTTTGAAGATCTTTTTTTGCCTGTGTCCTCTATGCCTTGGCTGCTTGGTCCCTCACAATCACATGAATCATGTTCATTGTCCCTCACAGCACTAATGAACCCTCTGCTACTTCAGAATGTGTCTCACAGCATGTTTCATCATGTAATATTATAACTGCCTTCATTCATATTGAACAGGTATCAACGCCTGTTTTTGATAAATGGGTCTAATAGACTCCTCCTTGAATCGCTACCTTATCGTGGTGGAGGGGTTTGTGTGTCCCAGGGATCCCAGGGGCTATGTTGTCTGGGGGCTTTTGCCCCCTGGTAGGGTCTCCCATGGCAAATTGGTCCTGGGTGAGGGACCAGACAAAGAGCGATTCAGAAGACCCTTATGAAGAATATCGAGGGAACAGTTTACCCTGCCCGGGATAGGGTTACCGGGGCCCCGCCCTGGAGCCAGGCCCGGGGAGGGTGCCCGAGGGCGAGCGTCTGGTGGCCGGGCCTTAGTCCATGGGGCCCGGCCGGGCACAGCCCGAAGAGGAGACATGGGCCCATCCTCCCGCAGGCCCACCA